AAACCTCTAAACCCTAAACCCCCCAACCCCATCTAACCCCCACCTCCCGCCCCGGGGCCCCGGCGCGTAGGGCTCCGCTCGAGAGGCTCGATGCTCCTCTGCCGTTTCTTGAGCGTTCAAAGAGAGTTTCAAGTTGAGGGCTCTGGGGCTTATAGTCATTTATAGTGCGCGAGGTTTAAGGCTAGTATGGCTTAGGGTTTAAGTTATAGGGCCTCGGGTTCTCTTCACTTCGGCTGTTGTGCTTCAAGGGTACGTGGCATGGCAGCGCTGCCCAGCAGTCGGTGTGTCTAAACACATCGCCCACATCTGCTGCAGACACTTTCCGAATAGGGGCGTTGCATGGTTTGGGAAGTTGAGGGCTTGGTTCAACAAGAAAATACAGAACTACATTAGATAATAATTACACACTACTACTACGACTATGAACAGTAGCAAAACCAGTAATGACAAACTATGAGAACAATAAGAATAATACAAAGAATAACATAGTATGTCACAACACCGAAGCGCGCCTTCGGCATCCTGCCGCCGCCATCCACCAACCTTCCAGTCACCACCTTGGCAGGAAGTCTGCTTCTCGCACACACCATATTGAACGTATATTGTATATACACTACTACTACTACTACTACTACTACTGCTACTACTACTACTACTACTACTACTGTACTACTACTGTACTACTACTACTGCTACTACTACTACTACTACTACTACTACTACTACTACTGGCACCGCATAAAATCTCTCGAGCAGGGACCCAGGCAGTCGTACTGTCACACATAGCAGGTTGACCATTTTGATAAAACCTTCACTAGCTTTGGGTGTTCAAAGCCGGGGCCTGGCTCGCAGCAGAATGTGTGCTCGCGGTCTAACTTTGTCTGTGCCCTCGGGCCTCAGCGTCCTCCATGTTCGGAAGCAGCCCAGGGCCCAAATCCGCGTGAAACAAGGCCAAACAGGCCTGTGGTGCGATACCCCAGGGCCCTACAGGCCTGAGACTGTAAAGCAGAGTGATATCACCGCACCTAGGTTGGCTTAAGCGGTCTCCATCAACTGCAAGCTAGACCAAAGCTCGGTGTGCCCGGCTTGGAGCGATTGCAAACCTACGGATGTTTGAGTACGGTGCCTCTACCCGACTCTACCCATGACGGCTACGCGACGTCTCAGTGTTGCTGCGATGCAGTGCTCCTGTGTTAAGCTTAGCCGCACCTGCATTCAGTCGTCGATCCGAAAACAGCGCAGCACAAGCAATCCCCAAAGTTGTGGAAGGGAAAGCAACACTTGGATTCACAAACGTATCTCACTCCGGAGCATAGTTATAGACTAGTTGTATGCAACGCAAAGATCCTGCTAAGCTACCGGTTGAGGGTATCTCGCTCAAATGCATAGGCATAGGGAAACCGTCAGCACCCGCACTTGCACAAGAACCCAACCCCGACCTCGGGCCTGCGGCTACAAGTACCCATTAGTTCGGCCTCACCCCTGGAATGAAGGGGGCATAACCGAATGCTGTGTAGGTTTTGGCGCTCCGGGCACACCTGAAGCTAGTTTGTTTGTCCGCTTTAGAACTGAGGATCAAGCGGAACTTTATTGGACCCCCTACATAAAAAGGTTATAGACATGTATAACACCTTCATACCACCGTATTCATGAACAGACTTAAACAACCTTAAACCCCCAAGCCCCTAAAACCCCCAAAATTAAGCCTCAAGCCAATAACCCTTGCCTTACCCAGAACTCTCAACTAGACCCTAAACCCTAAACCCGAGCTCCCTCAAGCCGCTGTTAAAACACCCTACGAGCCCTAAACCCTGAACCCTAAGCCCTAACAGCCCTTCGACCCTGGGTTCGTGATTCCAGAAAGCAGGTAAGGCAATCCCTTCTCAGAAGGGATTGCTGTAATTTAGGATTTTTGGGAGTGGGTTTCGGGTTTGGGGCGTATCACAAGGTCTATAAGGGATCCGGGCTTAGGGTTTAGGGTGCGGGTTAGGGTACTTCGATGTATATAGTTCTTGAGGCGGCTGTGCTACGCCTTTCTTGATTACTACTATACTAACCAGAACGAGAGCTCCAAGGTTCCGGTTTGGGGACAAATTTTTCTTTTCCGTGCTTAGGCTCAGGGCGTCAAGTGTTTCAGAAATCTGGTTCAACAGTCATAAAAAAAACAAGACAGCAAGCTAACCGTATGGGTAGTAGCTCGTAGACTCTAAATTCTGAACAGTCCAAACACTCAACCCTAACCCCTTGAACCCGACAGCCCTTCTCCGCAATTCAAAACAAGGGCACATGAGAGCAGGGTTTAGGGTGGCGAAGGAGTATGTTCATTGCTAATGGGCTTTAGGGTTGAGGGTTTAGGAAGTTTAGGGGATATGAGAATTGCCATGAATAGTTTGGGTGACGGTCTTGATGGTTGATCCAGGCCACCACCCCCCAGCGCGGAAAGAAGAGCCGGACGACCGGAGACGGGACCGAAGACTCCGAGCTCAACGGAATCCTTACCCTAAGGGTCCATGCGCCCAACTGGTATATGCTGTGGCCTTGAAGTAGTCCTGGTATAGGCATTGGGGGTCAAAGTATGTAGTGTTTGAATAAATGGACCCTTACAGTTAGTCGAAGCAGCACCCAGTGTAGGACGTATAAAGTGTGATCTGCCAGGTAAAGCTTGTGAAACCTTGTGAACTTAAAGCACGGAAAAGGAGCACAAATCTGATGAGCCCACAACCCAAAAAGCCTTTGTGTATACTGCGTTATCCATTGCACCACCAAATCTGTATCCCTGAACCCTAAGCCCTGAGCCCTAATACAAAACACTGAGACCCCAGTTAGGTGAACTCATAAACTCAAGCCTTGTTGTC